TACCAGGGCTCCAGCTCGAAGCGCAGGAGAAGGAACGGGGTGGTTTTTAGTCAGTAAGAGTCTGACACTCCCTCCCGCCTCACCCAGGCGGGAGCAGTCATTCGATGATTTTCCCTCCTTAAATAAAATGCCTTTTCCATCAGATCAACAGAATCGCGTAAATAATGGTGTCATAATAAATCAGATACTCTTCAATACTTTAATAGGTACCTACTTAACTATATCTGTTACAATCAAACTGTTCTATAAAAATAAATATGACTACGACGTAGCAATTATAAAGGTTCTACTACATGAGCCATATATTAAAGCGAAGTTAAAATTATGGGATTGCTATTTTAGTTATAATTAGTAGATAATTTATTATGTCTATTTTCAGAAGTAAAAAGAGATTAAGTAAAATGAAATAACTTAAAAAAATAAGATCATCTTGTAATGAGCTTTTCTACTAAAGCTCACCGCACTTACAATATTTTCCTTCGCTCCTTGATTGACCAATCACAATCCCATTTTAGAACAATCACAAACTTGTAAGGATCACTTCACTTGCACTAGAATCACTTGCGTCAGAACGACCGGCGATTACTAAACGTAACACGACTGTGACGTAATATTAAAAAAAAGGAAAGTAAAAGTAATCGTGCGCGGGATTCGCGATTCGAATTTTGAATTTGGAAGCGTCAGTGACGTGCGCGCGCTCACCTGGCGCACGGTAGACTGCGCGCGCAATGCTGTGTTGCCAGAATCCGGCTTGCAAACTTCCCCACAATTTTACAAGTTATCGTAATCTAATCAATTAACATTTCCTATGTTTGCGCTGATTGTTGTAGTTTAGTTAATTAATCTTTATAAGCTATGAAATGAAACTTAAGCTATGAAATGACTTGGAAAATACGTTATATGGTACAACTACATTTATAATTATTTTACCTAATAAGAACAACATTCCTAGAAAAATCTTTATTGCATGTTTACCTACATAAACAACGTAGATTAGATACTTGAATACAAGTAGATACTTGAGCATGTGACTATTAACATAGTTAAATAATGACTATTAAACAAAGTAATCACATAGGAATTAAATCCTAGCACGCAGGACTACAAATACTTAATCATGCCAATAGTAAAAAGGAGACAAGGAATTATAGAATTCCAAGCGTTTGATTTAATTAAGTATTATCGTAGGATCCAATAAAAGCTCTTTGAAAATTACCCACGAAAGTCGTAAAATTACCCCAAACAATAACTTTACTTTAGATGTTTGTTTCCCAAGCCTAGTCCAGCGGTCAAGGACCCAGCAACCTGCTAGACAAGCTGACCGGACAACACCCGTGGGGTTGCCATAGAGAAAATTATGACCAGTTGGGTGCTATGGTCCACTGGTCAAAAATAGAATGATAGTGAATTTAATTAATTCTGTGCGACCAAGCTTGACAGAACTTACATGTTTAAAAAATATTTTTGTGATATGGTTGAGCTAACGACCACTGGAATAAATGGTATAAAATATACCATACTATAATTATGTATAGCTAATAATTGCAGGGTCAATCTAATAACATCTATTAAACAGTCTGTGTTTTACTATTATGCAAAGTTACTCAGTTGCTGTTTTTATATAGCTTTATCGACTATGAAATATTTTCTATCAATGTTTTGTGATATACATAAAACGAAGAAAATAACAAATAAATGTAATTTAAGTCTGTGTGCCTGTATATAATGCTTTTATTCATAACGACTCTACTAAAAATTTTGTTTCTGAAGTGATAGAGAAGAAAGGAAGCACATAGGTAAAAAAGAAGTTAGATCTCCAAAATTCTGATGGTAACCGATCAGCACCGCCCATGGACACCTGAAACACCAAAGGCGTTACAAGTGCGTCACCAGCCTTTTGAGAATTGGGTAATTTGAGGATTGTGGGGGATTCGGAGATTGGAAGAGTCTGGGGATGGGGTAATTGGGCCTCTGGTAACCTCACTCACACGACGAAACACAACCCATGCCTTGTTTCACATAGGTTTTCTGTGAGGCCGTTTCATTTAATTTCAGCTTTTCCCCGATAGTAGTAAACTTACATTACTTTATTGTAAACTTTCTTTTTTCTAATTATAACCTACCTACCTACCTACCTACCTAGGTAGGTAGGTAGGTAACCTACCTACCTACCTATATAGGTACCGTGTCAAATACCTATATTACCTACTGGCAATAAGCATACAGTCCACTTTATAGAAGACTATCCCAACAATGAACTTATCAACTCGTCGCTGCACTTCCGAACTTAGGTTTTTGCAATAACTAACCACTAATACCGATCATTGGTTCTAACTTCTACCTAACTCTAAGATGTACATTCTACTATTATTATTCAAGTTATTAGAATTATTACTGCCTACCCCGTGATTTCTTTGACCGGTGTTGAGTCGAACTCAAGTCGATTAAAGACTTTCATATTTATAAGTAAAAGCTGTAAGATTAAAATAATTACAACATTAATTGCGCCACAACACAAAACGCTAACCTCCATAATTATAAGCCTACCGACTAAAATTCGTAAAAAAAGTTTATAAAAGGCCAATGCATCATCATCAGTTGTCAAGATGTTCTCATCGCTTGGGATCCGGTTCTGTGCTCGAGTCGTGCAAAACAGGTTGTCTCGTCTACCACCGGAAATTGCTCAACAATGTGATAGTCTGAGAATTGAAAGCCATCACGTCGGTACTCGAGCACTGTTTTATTAATCGTGTAATAGACGATTCTTTTCTTTTAAGTTTTATTTTTTCGAATGCAGTAACTGGTTACTGTGAGAAGTAACTGTTTAACGTTCAGTAGGTAATCCATAATACAATAGATATTAGACAGTCCTTACGGACTTTGTACGATCTCCAAAGTTAATAGTTACAATGTAGTGTCAAATACAAAAACAATGTAAATGCATTAGTTTTTACGTTTTTCCTTTAATTAGGTTCTATAGATTACTGCTTCTATTGCAGTTACATTTTATTTATCATCAACAGATCTAGCCTTTGCCATTGCACTTGCAGATGCTTGACGTTTGCGAATTAATGAAATGTATCTAATGAAACTTACTCATAGCCCTTATGTAGTATATTTAAGAAAATGACATATTTTACCTACGTCTGAACATGACCGATCGCATCAACTAGTTCGCCAGCTTTGAATAAAGACACACAGTCAACCTTAACCCTAAACGAAAAGCCTCACGTCACAGCGAATGTTCTCGAATGTTAGACAAATATGTGACGCAGTATGAAAGCAGTTCATCTCTGCATCTCGCTGGCTTTTCATACCTTTGTGTACCCTAGTATATGGGACACCTGCCTTTTGTTCCCGACTCCATGCCCGGCTAATATACCCGCACTGCTCTCTCTAGAGCTATTTCGAGATGATTTGCAAATCGTTGTTGGACAAAAAAGGATTTTTACAACGAGTTAGGTAGATAGATTGTACGAGCTACGCTGTACAGTGTATGTGCTACTTAATCAACCCACTTTCAATAAAACGTTGCAGTTTAGTTAAGGCAATAATTATTACATTTTAACAGATTATATTTAGTAGCTATTAAACCTTTATACCGATCGGTTGTCTACTCATTCAACAGAACATTCAACATCTTCATAACATTTTCACTGTTGGGAATATTAAGTCCCAACCTAGATTAAAAAAGAAAATTCTTTTAATTATTCAGGTAATCACATAAATAGTTGTCGCAATGGTTCGTTTTCAACCTAATTTTATAAACGTAAAGCAAGCAGCAGGGGCTGTATTATACAGTTAGAAATTAGGGTTTCAGTCAATCCGTTTTTAGGGTTTTCGGAGACAAAAAACGACGAATAGATTTCGAAACTTTCAGCCATGCCTAGCTACTAAAATAGCTTCGCCACAAGCAGCTAATAATATTAATTTTAGTTGATGGAGCATTAAATACCAATACCTACGAAAAGGAAGGTTACCAAGTACCCTAAATGTTACAATTTCAAAACTCCTCACCCTTCCTGAAACGATATAATTTCCCTGTAATTACATGTTGACCAACCGTCCGGCCGGACGGTGTGAATTTCACAAGTTTGCACCTGAAACCGCTGAAACTGACTGAATGGCCGGGAGTTGAGCAATGGTGGTGAATGGTCGGTCACGTGTTGATAATTAATATTATTTGTACTATACATATATGTCGCAAACGTGCACGATTAGCACTAGAATGTGCAATGGTGCAATGCTCTGGTTCAATTTGCGAGTAAGCCAAAAAGTGCTAATAGAAATTAAAATGTGCACGTCTGCCTACCCCTGCGAAGATAAAAGGTGTGATGTTATGTATGGAAATTAAAATCTAGAGAAAGTCTAGTCTAGTATTGCGAAAATTGGTAATAATTTCGCCCCTCGAATCTTAAGGCGAACGCACACTTATCCGAGCCAAACGCGTCGATCGAGTCGATCGAAACGAATTTTACAATTCTGTATATAAAATATCATGAAACCTCGGACACTTTTCTGCATCGAATCATCAGAATTCGAAGTGTGCGAGGTTTTTTGTCCTTATCCCCAAGCGTTCCGTGCGGATAAGTGTGCATCCTTCATCCACCTTTAAATAGTGCGTTGAGCCATCGTGTATCTCTTTGACTCGATCGGCTTTAATAAGCAGAAGATATACCTAATATTATGTCGGTCGTATTACACGTACTCACCTGGAAGACGAAGTAACAATTTCGATAATAGTTTGCCCGTTCTGGGAATTTGAATCATCAGAATATACTGCATTCAGTCAGTCACAGTCTACACATAATTTAAAATACGACCTTCTTTGACCTCCTGACCTCAATTCTAGTTACTTCAATAAAAACAAACAACCCCCCGTTGCCATGACAACAGTAACTATTGACAAAATCAGACAGTTTTTGAAATAATTTTACTCCGAATAAAATAGTACAGTAAAAAAAATGTTTTTGTGAGTTTTCTTCAGAGCTGGTAGAACAATGAAGTTATTAAGGTTTCACTTGAGATACCATCCTCCAGGGATCACCCTGGAATATCTGCAGAAGGGCATGGTAAAAAGTAAGGAAATCGATTTACTGGATTTAAACGCCAAGTAAGGAATTTATTTTTCATATAATAAATTAGTTATGCAAAGTACTTGTACCTTTTTTAATTATTTGTATCTACAAATCCAGCTTTGATTTTATTGAAATTTCGAGAATACAATAACGTTAGAAAATTTTCGTTTTTCAAAATTCTCTGTCTGCCCTTTCAGTAAATAAAAGGCACAATTATTTATCTATAAACTCTCCAATAAATCCCAAATTGTATAAATACTTCACTAAATTCTAATAATTGATAGGTAATCATAATCCTTCTTCTTGTTCAGTACAAACACCAAAGAGTTGGCGTTCCTCCTGTACCAGAAAGAGCCGCTGATCACCGAGGAGGTGCGCGACCAGTTGGAGCAATGCCTGGAGGTGTTGAAGAAGAGGACGGAGCATGAAGGTCCTACAGGAAAGAGGTTCTACATCTACAAGACGTTGATGACCCATGTACTGCCACTGACGAATGTTGCTTTTGATAAAACTGGGAACAGGTAAATATTTTATTCTAATTTTTAACTGTCTTTTGCCCAAGGTCTCGGGTTCGATTCCCGGGTCGGGCAAAATATTACTGGGGTTTTAAAAATCTCAGTAGTTGCACGGAGTCTGGAAATGTGCCCGGTGTATGGCAATAGGCTCACCCCCTATTACATGGGACTCATAGCATAAATAGTGAAAAGTGGGTGTTACATTGTACAGCGGTATTAAGTGCCGTAATGTGCGCCTCTGCCTACCCCTTCGGAGATAAAATTCATGATGTGTTATATTTTTAACAGGTACAAAATTATATTCGAGCCCCTGGTGCTGGAGATATCTTTCTCTTCCTTCCCCTCAGTTATAAAACCACAAATTCTTTATTCTTTTTAAACTCTACAATTTCGTTCAAATCAAAATGTTTAAATACACGTAGTAAGTACTTCATACCTAATTTGGTAGATAATATTTTTTTACCTTTGGTCTATCGTACAGTTGTCTCTCCGGGAGTTACGACCGCACTTGTAAGGTGTGGGATGTGGAGAGTGGCAAGGACCTGCAGACCCTGACAGGACACCAGAATGTCGTCTACACCGTCGGTTTCAACTTCCCAGCATGGTTAGTTCTTCAAGAGATTTTTTTATGGCATAAGCCGGTAAACTATCAGACGGATCACCTGATGGTAAGCAATCGGCGTCGCTCATGGAACACCAGAACAACCACGCACACCTGGAACACCAGAGGCGTTACAAGTGCGTTACCGGCCTTTTGAGGATTAGGAGTTTGAGGATCGTTGGGGTTTCAGGAATTGGGAAGATTGGGGAAGGGGAGGGTAATTGGGCCTCCGGTAACCTCACTCACACGACGAAACACAACGCAAGCATTGCTTCACGTCGGTTTTCTGTGAGGCCGTGGTATCACTCCGGTCGAGCCGGCCCATTCGTGCCGAAGCATGGCTCTCCCACACTTGAATTACTAAAGTATTTAGGATTAGGTCACATACTACATTTATATTTTATACCGTTTTCAGTAATCGCGTACTCACTGGTTCTTTCGACAAATCGGCTCGTATCTGGGACCCGGAGACTGCCGAATGCCTGGCGACTCTATGGGGTCACCGCGGCGAGGTGGTGGCCTGCCAGTTCAGCGCCAAGGGAGATCTGGCTGCCACCGGGTCTATGGACCACACTGCCAAACTGTTTGATGTCCACACAGGTCATATTTTTAACCATCGTCTTTAATTTGTACCAGTTAATGCTGGACGTAAGATCCTCAATAGCGCACCGTGGAAATATGTTTTTCATGTCCATATAAAAATGTACCACGTACTTTCTACCATCAATCAATGATATAGCTGTAAGTTGAGGACATCAATCAATGATATTTATAGGTTGAGGACGAAAGACTGGCTCTGTAGATTTTTAGATTCTGCTAATAGGTACTAACTTCTTAAAATCAAGATGCTTAGCATTCGATTGGCTCGCGAGTTTTTACAAGCATTTTGTCTGCCCTAAAAAACAAAAAAAATAATGATATTTATTTAGGAGCTGAAATCCACACATACAACGGCCACACTGCCGAGGTGATCGCTCTACAGTTCGATCCCAACGAGGGACAACGGCTGATCACAGGCTCCTTCGACGGCACCATATCCATATGGGACACCAGGGTCGATGAGTAAGTTTAATTTCAACGTTAAGCCATATCTATTTCGATAAATATTTCTCGAATTCGTAGTTTTTGGGTAATATATTACTTGCAATTTAGAATGAGGGCAATAAATATTGTTTCCTGTGCCTGCTTGAGAACTACGAGCAATATTATTACCGACTACATGTAGCTCAGGTTAAATATTTAGGGATTCATTCAAATTTTTTGTGCCCTTGTTTTTATTACTGTTTTATTACCTTGTTTTTATTTATATTTTAGATTAGAAGATTTTATTGTAAGTAACCATTAATAAAACAATACAATGGATGGATAAGTACAATCTAGAAATTAATTATAAAAAATCAAAGTTTTTATATTAAAAGTAAAGTATACAAAAAATGTGCATGCACTTTTAATTTAGTTTTTTCACTTTATGAGTCGCCGCCTGCGTCATTTTGAAATTAACACTAACAGTTAAATATTTTAATAACTGTTTATTTCCGTCTGTTTGTTCGACAAAAGTACTATCTGATAACAAAGCACCCTGTAAGTATAAATGCATTAAAGTGATAAAAGAATGTAGATGCATTAAAGTGATTTGATTTAGTGTTCAATCTGACTATTATCCTGTAACACTGGTTTACAGTCAATCAGTTGTCACGTCACGCCAGTCCCGCTTTATCATTGTATTATTTCACATTCTAACTAATAAATCTAGAAGCGCTTATTTACACATATGTTTTATTAAATTTTAAATAAGCATGGATCCAAGTTATATGTGGCCTGTAGGATAGTCGCAAACAGAACAGATATTAACTCGTCGAGTACCGGTTTTATAGACACAATTAAAGAACAATAGGTCGCGGTCACCGGTGACCGCTTGGTGTTTGACAGTTTAATATGTATATACATTTAAAAACTTAAAACAGGCGAGTGTCAGTGCTCCGCGGGCATGACGGTGAGATATCCAACGTGCAGTTCAACTGGGACAGTTCCCTGGTAGGCTCCTCCTCGCTGGATGGCAGTGCCAAGCTGTGGGACGCAAGGCAGAGCTCCTGCCTGGCCACCGTGTCTGGACATACTGATGAGGTAAGCTGCCTTGGAAAATATCACGTTACTTTTTGACCACAGATGTAAGCAAGAACAAAACCTCATTTTTAGGTGCTGGACATATGTTTCGATTGGGCTGGTCAGCGCATGGCCACAGCCTCCAGTGACTGCTCCGCCAGGGTCTATGATGTCAAGTCGGACTTCAAGGAGCTCGCCGTCATGAAGGGACACCGCGGCGAAGTGTCCAAGGTTCGTTATTTAGTGTACAGTAATCATAGTAATAAAATGTAATCGCGTCAGCTCAAGGGAACTCTTGGGCGGCTTACAGCAGTAGCCTGTGTTTGGTGTTAATTTTTTGGTATTGGTGTGAACTTTGTACTAATATATCATGTAATACGTGGGTGAGTATAGAAAGTGGAAACATGGAAAGTGCAACTCCTCGACGGTTAGGAGTTTAAAGTAAATTCTTTCAAAGTTATGAGCACATGTAGATCGACAATCATATTCTTATTTTTTAATAAAAGAGCTTTATCCAACAGGTTTGCTTTAGTCCGGCGGGTGGTTGTCTTCTGACGGCATCAGCAGACAGAAGCTCGCGGTTATGGAACACTACCACTGGGAACTGCATTCAGGTAAAGTAATTGATTACGACGTCTGGACGTATCTATGAAATAGTGCTGAAAAATATTTTTCATGTACTTTATTTATTATTATAGCAACTCATGAAACATATTCAATCAATATTTTAATATCTACGGTTTCCAAACTATAAGTCTTTTAGTTATGAACAGATGACGACGATGGTGATAATGATCCTTGTATTTATTTAATCCTCTATATTTTGGTCATAGGTCCTGGCAGGTCACCAGGGTGAGATCTTCTCATGTGCGTTCTCCTACGAGGGTGATGCAATCATAACTGCCTCCAAGGATAACACCTGCAGAATATGGAGATGATTGGACTGGTGGATGTAGACCATCCGCCAAGAAATTACAACAAACTACCAATAACATAAAGGACTTTAAATAAAACGCAACAGGATACAGATTTGAAATAATATTAGCTTCTCTTGTCCTAGTGTAGGTGCACGGTTTCCAAAAATCACAAAAGAATGCGGCCAGGTAGCGTAGTACTGAAGTTTGTAAGTGACATGAAATTATTACGTACGTACTCGGTAGCTATCGGAATAACGAAGATCATGTATATCTGCAGTCTATACTTATGTATAATTAAGTAATCATTCTACATTCTATAATTCATTACAAAGTCACCATCATCGTCACCATATGACAACATTTGGCCACATTTATGAATAAGTACTTCGGCATCTGTACAATCATTCAGTTATTTAATATAGAAGGTTCTAGATCTAATATTTATTTATTTATTAAAACAAGTTTCGGTATTAAATAAACTCAAATCAAAACAATACATCATTGGGTTTTTCTCTAGCTGATAACTGTAACTCTAAAATTTACTTTGAAATAACGTAAATCTTCAATATCTGAGGATTGGAAAAGCAAATCATAATATTTTACTGTTTACATGTAAACAGAATAAAGATAAAGCATTGCCCTTTAGCTTATGTGTCCCTGATTACTGTGTTAATATATAATATATAATGTTTATATGCACATTTACAAACCTCGCGAGATGAATAACAATGAAATGATGACGTTTCACTTAGAAGATGACGTCATAGAATGAGTCACTGGACAGCGGATGCACTGGCTATAACTTAAGTACAGTGGAAGTGACTCAAGGACGGCTCGTTTAGTAGTTCAAGCTGCGTATGATCTGTCCTATACATTCTGTGCCTAAGTCTACTTTTATCGTAGACGGTATCATCTCTGGATCAGCTAGTGCTGGTCTAGTGACAGATAGTACAGTAACTTTAATAAATCACAAGATACTGACGTTTGCGTATCGACGTCATTTGTTTTTGTTATTATGTATTTACACAATCAGTTAATTGGGATGTCACTGACCTCTAAATATTTAAACATTAAAATGTAACGAAGTTATGAAAGGTACAATTACATAATTATTTATTATATTACAATTGTATTAATAATAATTTGATTTGTAAACATATAACTTCACTCTTGACGATTTTCATTAAAATGTGAATAAAACAATTTTATTTATATAATATTTACTTATAATGAAGTCTTACTTATCCTATTTTTGTGTCTATAGTATCGTAATTCGATAAGGATGTGTTACAATGATGTACTTAGAATGCACCCAGCGGTATGTGCCAGTGAGCTGGTACATCCTGCCCGCTGCCGAGACAAGGGGTCAAATGAACTCACATTATAACGATATGGGCTCATCGAGCACAACAGTGAGTACTATTTATTTTAGAAACAATAATAATTTTTAATTAATTCAGAATAATAATATATAATTCAGTTAATTAAGTGTGGGAGAGTCAGGCTTCGGCTCGACCGGAGTGATACCACAGCCTCACAGAAAACCGACGTGAAGCAACGCTTGCGTTGTGTGAGTGAGGTTACCCGAGGCCCAATTACCCTCCCCTTCCCCAATCTCCCCAATCCCTGAATCCCCAACGATCCTCAAACTCCCAATCCCCAAAAGGCCGGCAACGCACTTGTAACGCCTCTGGCGTTCCAGGTGCCCATGGGCGACGCCGATTGCTTACCATCAGATGTTCCGTCTGCTCGTTTACCGGATTATGCCATAAAAAAAATAATCTATGTGGCCAGTATATTGTTATAGGGTTGTGTGTGAAGTAAACCTTATTATTCGGTTTACTTATTACCTAAGCTGACTCGAAATCGAGCAAGGATGAGGGGTTCGTCGATTGTTCGTGTAAAAAAGCATTAAATTCATTTGTTGAGACGATTGTTTCCATCTTCATCGGCCTATTACGTTTCCGTCCATTGCCAGACAAAGGCCTTTCAATAGCCACTCAGTTTAATCTTCAGTTGTTCAACAGCAAAATATTGTGGAAATTACAAACAGGATGTAGATTACACGGTCAAAAAATAGACATTTAAATAGTACATTTCTCATTTATCTGCATATCTCATAAAGTTTCACACGTTTAAAATAATGTGAGAAATAATAAAGGCAAACAAAAGCGCACGACTTGTGTACCCGACTGTACAAAACAGCATAAGCTAGTAAACGCTGGGTAGGCGAGCGAGATCACTCATTATCATATTGAAACCCAAACAGTATGGACGTGTGCTTATAAATCAACATGTTTCAAACAATTTTATACATCGTAGTGTCCTTAGTTATAGTGCAAGCTGAATACAAATTCGAAACAAAATGGTTTCGCGTGCCACTTGACCATTTTGGTTTTCAGAGGAATGAGACTTTTGAAATGAAATATTTGGTGAATGATGATAACTGGGATCAAGGCAGTGGGCCCATCTTTTTCTACACCGGGAACGAGGTGAGATACTCAGTACCTGCATTATCTCTAATTATATGTATTAAAATCAATAAATAATGTAGCAAAATATGTGAAAAGTGATTCTTTACGTAACAATGTGAGCTATTTCTGATGGCCTTCCGAAATAAATAGTTTTAACATAACCGCACTTATCTTTTAAGTACCTACTTACCGACTGAGCGATTGACTGTTATATTAACCGACAGGCGCTGTGTGCTAATTCTTACATTATTTACTTAACAATAAACAAGTATCAGCTACTGTTTCTCGCTAACTTTTCAATATTTTATTATTGTTTTGACTAGCATACTTATTGACGATCTACCAACCTACCTACACCTGAACTAATTCGTTTTACAGATGTGTGTTTATTTCACAATGTTAATTATTATATGTACAATGTTATTTAATAAGTAGGTACTTGTTTAACTGACCCAGCGAAATGTCTACCGACTTTAATAAATAAATTATTTGTGTTCGATATGAGTGCACCCACGGCAAAACGATTGCTTTTGTTTGTCATCAATGTCATCACAAAGAACGTTTCTGTCTACTGCAGTGGTCTACATGTAATACCTACTGTCTTTTCTATTTACATGATATGGATGTTGAAGCTAACAACCGTCAGATGAATTTTTTCATACTTTTTGCTTTTGATAATTTTGTTTTATGAAGTGAAATTTCGTACCAGCTGCTAATTTGTAAATGGCCGTTATATTATTTTACACAGTAGTAAACAACATTCCTCTTATAGGTTACATCCAGTAGACTGTTATCGGACACCGGGTTATTTAATAATGTCAATACTTACCGTATCGCAATGAATATTCGCTTATCAATCCAGTTATTAATGCTTACATTTTCGCTAAAATATGTAGTACACGTTACGTTGCCCCCATGTACGAATCATTTGACCAGGTGTTGAAAGAATAAAGTGAACAAACTTGCTAGAAAAACGCGCCTGAAGAATGATCTCAAAGATCAGTGAGCGAGTTCAACGAACTCTTATAACTAAGTTTTTATGTAGGTATATAACGGCTAAACTGTTATAGTTAGAGAAACAGACTATGAAATGAAATACGTTTACCTACTAAATACATTCATAAATACAGTTTTAACATTATTTCTGTTATTTATGTTAGTCACTAGATAACAATTTATTGTACTTGGGTACCTATTGTACAAACAATGTACTTAATTATAAAAAAACGAACAATGAACTATTTCATGTATAAGTATTTGTATTATTTCAAGTACCCTGGGGACTTCCCAACAACAAAAAAATTTAGGTATTAGGTCCCATTAAAACGACTGAAGCTTGCTTTGCAACAGATAATAAATAGTAGGTAATCAATATTTCTAAGCTAGCGTTATTATTTTCAGGGACAAATAGAAGTATTCGCAAAGCACACGGGTTTCATGTGGGAGATAGCAAGAGAGTACAAAGCTAAACTAGTGTTTGCGGAGCATAGGTGAGTGGGACTTGGGTTTTCCATCCAATATTAGTATTCTAGATGTAATCCCGCAATCTATCAGCTCGCCAATGCTTGTAACCTACACGATAACATCTCATTTTTATACTGTTTGTTACTTACTGGTGATTTTTGTTGGGGGTCGTCAAAATAGCCTCACAGAAAACCGACGTGAAACAACGCAAGCGTTGTGTTTCGTCGTGTGAGTGAGGTTACCGGAGGCCCAATTACCCCCCTCGCTAGTCCCCGTCTCTCGAATCCCCGAATTCTCCACAATCCTCAAATTCCCAATTACCAAAAGGCCAGTAACGCACTTGTAACGCCTTAGTGTTTCGTGTTACGGTGGCGCCGATTGCTTACCATCAGGTGATCCGTCTGCTCGTTTACCGACTTATGGTATAAAAAAAAACATCGACCACATGCTCTAGATCTAGTCTCTCGTCTCATGTAGTCCTGGTATCCAATCTAAGATATTTCAACAGATGTGGTCGTGGCCAGGCCAATTGTCCCTTCAATTCAATCATTTCATTTTAAAACTTTCGTGTTCTGAATCTCCTCTTTTATTCTACAAACCTACACGTAATTCCTCCCTATAATTATGTATATAACTAATTCTTAATTTCCAGATATTATGGAGCTTCAATGCCTTTCGGCAACAAGTCACTGGACAATGAACACATTGGTTACCTATCGTCAGCTCAGGCTCTGGCTGACTATGCCGATCTGATCAACTACCTCCAGGGTAATGTCATCAAACCTAGATACCCTGTCATTGCATTTGGAGGTACGTAATATGAAGGTAAAAGGGTAAATATAAAGGGTTTTTTCCTGTCCTAAGATACAGACGTGACTGATGAATCTACCTTTCTTTTATTTCCAGGGTCGTACGGTGGTATGCTGGCAGCGTACTTCCGCATCAAGTATCCTCATATCGTGACTGGTGCCATCGCAGCCTCTGCTCCAGTCCACATGTTCACTGGAATGGTTCCTTGTGGAGTCTTCAACAGACTTGTGACTTCCAGCTTCAGAACAGTCGATACGCATTGCTCTAAAAATATCAAGCAGTCGTGGGGTGTTATTAGGTTAGTAATCATTTATGGTCTTGGATTGGACGCTTTAGTGAAGCAGTCCAACATTCTTACTAAGTACCTGATAAAGTCTGCTATGCAATCTGTTTCGATTGCTGGTTTTGGTGACCATAAATTACTATTGTATGGAGACCTACGACCTACGTGTATAATGTGTTTGCAAACACACTCACGGCACTGCATACGAGTACATCTTGCACGTTTAAAAAGTTAAAAAAGTGTCAACAAAAACAAAGCTAATAGCACTAAATTATTTAATTACGTTGCATAACAGGCAGTACTCTTCAACCACCAACGGGTCGGAGGCACTGCGCAAAGCATTCAACCTCTGCACCCCAGTGAAGAATGCGACTGATCTGCAAGTGCTAATGGAGTTCTTGCAGTCCATGTACTCCTCACTGGCCATGGTGAACTATCCCTTCGCCTCAGACTTCCTCACATCTCTACCACCAGAGCCAGTGAGAGTCGTCTGCCAGTATCTAAATCAGAGTTTGACGGGAGACAAATTGTTAGAGGTAAGAAACGAACATTAAGTAAAAATAACTTATCCTTTCGACTACACTATAGAGGACTTTTCAATTTTCAGTCTAATAAATTTATAAAAAGTATGTCCTTTAACACGTTAAACGCCATGCCAGTCACCGGTGACCAACATTAGCGGAGGATTTGCCTTCAACAGTTTTTTATTGGCAGCCAATGCCTTAATGACGTTGTTTGCACATTAGTTATTAAAAAATAAAATCACGTTTCAACAAAAAAAAACTAGTTCATAATATATTGTTTATCTTTATTTCCAGGCTATAGGAAAAGTTATTGACATTTACACAAATTATGACAAGAAAAATAAGTGCGTTGACTTCATGAAAGGTGACGACTACGGTAATTTAGACGCAGCTGGGTGGGACTTTCAGGTATGTACCTACTTTTATAACAAACTAGAATAAAATGAGGCCTTAACAATATTTATCGTCGCAATTAATTATTTGTTAGATTGTATTACAACATAGGTTTTTCTTTTAGGCGTGCACAGAAATGGTCATGCCGATGTGTGCAGATGGAGTGAACGACATGTTTGAGCCGGACCCGTGGAACTTCACGAAGTTTGCGGACGATTGTCACAAGAAGTACAACGTGTACCCTCGAGTGGAAATGGCCAGGCTCGAATATGGAGGGAACAGGCTGCAGGCTTCTTCGAACATTGTGTTCAGTAATGGACTAAGAGATCCTTGGACGGGAGGTAATTGTCTCTTTTTAACTTATGTTTAATCGTATCCTTACGTAAAAAAAAAACAAATATAAAAAATGTAGATATCTGTATTTATTATGAATTTTTCTACTTGCAGGAGGTATCCTCGACAGTTTAAATGAATCGGTGAGAGCAGTGGTAATAGTAGATTCTGCTCATCACTTAGACCTTATGCCCAGTAACCCCAGCGATCCTGAGCCGGTGAAGATAGCCAGGAATATCCACAAGCAACACATCAGCAGATGGATCCAGGATTTCAAAGACCAATTGGCAACTACACGTAGATTTTAAAAAATGTGATTTTTGACTGTTATGATTGATAAATATTATGATTAAATTGTTAAATAATGTGACTTATTATTTGGTTTTACTTGACCCTCTTCAAGATCTAGATTTCATAGATTCTACCACTAGAAAGAAAGCGCAACTATGGAATGTGGTCCGATGTTTTTTAACTGAATAAAGAGCACCTTTTGGGACTAGGCACCTTCCCTAAATAAAGTGAATCTAAAAGAAGAAATATATGACGTTGAAGTCAAAAAATAAAGCTGCCGCTCCTCGCTTCTACGCTACCCTTTTGCTAGTTCTGCCCAAAGAGAAAAATTAAAAAAATAACTGTAATTAAAAAAAAATGTAATGAAAATGGAATTCGAGCTGATGATTTAGGGTCAAACCCACATTCAAATGGTGCCTGGGTCGATTTTTGTTCCTATCAATGTCGAGAATTCTTACCCCAAGTTTTACAAAAAGGAAAAAAGTAATACCTCACCCAAAAAATCTTTATTTAGGAATAAACCTTTGGAATAAACTTCCTCAAATCTACCTTTTGCCTTTAATACTAAACCGAATAAACTTTCTTTTATTATTTTTATTGCTTTTTAATTTTTTTATCTACAATGGATTAATGGATGCCATGATTGTTGGAGCCGGGTGTTTTTTTTTACCGTTTTTTACCACTTTTACACTGACCTGACATTTTGTAGCTGTCATTGTCATCGTGAGTTTCGACTTTCGAGGTTATGTTTGTTTGTTGTTTGGATTCGATTTGTTATTGCTCGAGTGTTATTGCTGCTCGTTTCATTTATAAAGTATTATAAACCATGTCAGTGCCGCCAGAAGGTGCTGTTGTTATACCAGATGCAGTGATGAGTTCATTGAGTACTGCATGCAAATATTGCAGTGAACCGGAAAACAAACAGGATCGACCTAGTCTAGTGTGTGGAAATTGTTTTTCTTACGTACATATTAACTGCCTCCGGAGATCCAGCACGCCTGGTGACTTTGCTTGCGATGTTTTCTTTGATTTTGTTTGTGAGGATTGCTCCCTAACCAACCGAGAAGTTTTCAAAAGGAACAGATTTCCCTGGTAAATATTTAACTTACTTATTTACTTTTAATTCAGAATTACGGTGGTATCTTTTTTTATAGCATAAGCCGGTAAAAGAGCAAGCGGATCACCTGATGGTAAGCAATCGGCGCCGCCCATGGACACCCGAAACGCCAAGGCGTTACAAGTGCGTTACCGGCCTTTTGGGAATTGGGAATTTGAGGATTGTGGAAGATTCGGAAGACTAAGGAGGGGGGTAATTGGGCCACCATAAACCTCACTTTTCTCGGTTTTCTGTGAGGCTGTGGTATCGCTCCGGTCGAGCCGTCCCATTCGTGCAGAAGCATGGCTCTCCACACTTGCAAAAAGTATCTGACTAAGTAATTCTGTTTATAGGGTCAGCGTAATATATCTAACTCTCCACCACCTGAACATACAGTCGTATGGCATCAGCAACCATGGCTACTTCCACTACAAGACACATATCTGCTCCTTCATTGATCGGTATTGGCAGGCACTATTTGGATCGCAGATGTAAGTACACTACCTTTGACAATCCACCATCTATTTGTATAAACCATAACCAAAATTCTATTCACTTTAATTTTAACAAACTTCAGATACTGAATACTCTTAATTTTATATCAAACTGTAGGTGGGAAAATAATTATTGAGATTTTCTTGGATTGAAAATGCATTAACAATGAGGTTGGTTTCAAGAGTACCTAAGCACCCTGGTCTTGATGGTGTCTCAAGGGTATCCTTGTATTCTCCACCTTAGTATTAAGATATATATATTTTATTGCTGTATCTATACCTTAAAAGGTAAAGTGCATACTGAATAGATATACAATTACAAACTTAATAATTACATAGAAATATGTAATCTTTCCCATATATAGGTAAGCTATGTAATAAACTTTATTTGCTTCTTCACAGCAAACAGAAGAAGAACTGGGTGGGCACAATAGCAGGGGTGTTGTCAGTGTACAACAAGCTGTTCTTCAAGTCTGGGTCTGCAGTGCTCGGGGAGACAGGCTGGTGGAAGCTCCTGCACAACTTCTCACCTGCTGTGGCTGCACATATAAGTGAGATTTTCTTTTAATACCAGTTTCCTCTATCTAATTATGTGTTCTACCTCTCTCTTTATAGTTTACTATCACTATTATCAAAGAAATAATGATGATCAATATCTACTCTTTACAGATAGGTATATAAAATTGAAGTATCTGTTTGTAATATTAAAATAACCACATTTTAATACATGCATATAAATATACATACAATATATGTATACATACCAAAATAACATTTTTTACAATTTTTGTCTGTCTGTCTGTCTGTGTGTTTGTACTGGCAAATATCTGGAATGGCTAAACTGATTTTGCAATACTTTTTTGGCAGGTAGCTCATGTACTGAGTAACATAGGCTACTTTTACATAGGAAAATTGAAACAAAAATTGTTGTGTTCTAAAATTCATATTCTATGCACACCAAGTCGCAGGCTTTACTTATCTATTTTAACTTTGTGTTACAGTACAAGAAGTATCTAAAGACAAACCTAAAGTCCGACCACGCAATCAGCCATCCATAGATAAAAACCTCTTCTTGGCCAAAGTTACTGAAATGGGTGAGTACATAATAATACTAATTGTTCTTTCCAAATTGTTTCTCTTAATCTAAAATCAGACTCCACAATAAATCAAACTACTTTACCATAAGATATTCAAGTACAATATTAAGTTATGAACTGATAAAAGAATATTGCTAAAGGTAAATTGTCTGCTAACTTCAGTCACCATTTACTGTACAAGCAACTGCTACCTGCTAACTAGCAGTGACCGTCTTAAAGCTTAGCTTAACTATCGTCTAAGTAATTAAAGCCAAAATGATTACTATAACAAAATATTCACAGGATATAAAGACTTGATCAACAATGAGAGCAGTGTGTGCATGCCACCGTCGGACCCTGTACCATGCAAGAAGAGAAGGGTTGACTCCGATGAGCTAAGTGGAGTCTCCAGCACTTCATTCTATGACCAGCAGGACTCAGACGGCAGGTAGGATAAGGATGCACTTTTCAAAATGATCTTTTGAACTGAAAATAGGATAATAATCATATTTATTTTCAAGATTCCGATATTGTTTTTACGTTATTTATTTATTTATTTATAATTTATGGAGGACTTACAGCTTATAAAAATGGATAAAAATAACAATAGGCGTAGGCAACAATGAGCCAATAACAAGTCCTCACGTTTAGGATTTGGAATAAATTAATTAATATGGTGTGAGTACTATACAATATTAAAAATACATACATTCTGCACAAATGAAAAAAAAATATTGAAACAGACCGTACAGACAATATGATTATAAACAGATCAAGACAAACGATAAAAAAAACTAAATATCTAGTTATAATCAAATAATTACTGTGGTATATGATATAGTGTCAGTTTAAAAATTAACACCTTTGACATGGTTTATGATTTACATTAATTGTGATCTAATAGATTTATATTATATATCCAAATGGCAAAACCTTTTCTGCTGCATTAAATTTGGTGATTTTTTATAGGAACGAATTGGCAGACGAGTATGTATTTGACGACCAGCTGAACCTGTTGACACACAAAGATCCTTACTCTGACTTGGAATTCAAAGGGTTTGACTTTGCACCCTCCAACCATCTAGTACCAGCGCAAGTAAGTTTTCTAGTTTCTAAGTATTCTAATCACTAATTAGAAAAAATGTACACTTTTTTATAGCATAAGCCGGTAAACGAGCAGACGGATCACCTGATGGTAAACAATCGGCGCCGCCCATGGACACCCGAAACACCAAGGCGTTACAAGTGCGTTACCGGCCTTTTGGGAATTGGGAATTTGAGGATTGTGGAGGATTCGGGAGACTAGGGAGGGAGGTAGTTGAGCCTCCGGTAACCTCACTCACACGACGAAACACAACGCAAGCGTTGTTTCACGTCTGTTTTCTGTGCGGCCGTGGTATCACTCCGGTCGAGCCGGCCCATTCGTGCCAAAGCATGGCTGTTCCACACTATGATATCTAATGTTTAGTTTAGAATAGGCCGGATCCGCCGGAGTGATACCACGGAACCAGAACTCCCTTACAGAAAACGTGTAAGTGAGGTTCAATCCCTGAATCCCCAACAATCCTTAAATTCCTAATCCCCAAAAGGCTGGTAACGCACTTGTGATGCCTCTAGTGTTCCGGGTGTCCATGGGTGGCGCCGATTGCTTACCACCTGGTGGTACACCTGCTCCCATAAAAAAGAAGATAATTTATAAAACAATAATGTTTCCTTGCAGAGTGATTCTTCAAGCATCCACTCGTTCCAACCGTCCATGATGTACGACTCAGACTCCCACTCGCGCAGTGGTTCCGAACAAGAGACCAGGAAAGTCTTTGAAAGACCAAAAAAGCCGATCATAGAAGAAAAACCAATCAGAAGGGAATCTCTCTTTTCCACTGAACTCAATTCTGTGGATAACCCTTGGGAAGACCCACTTCCGAAGTCAGAACCTGATCTAGTAGAGATGACACAGTATGAAGAAATACAACTTCTGAAGAAAGTAGACAATTTGATCCTGAGAGTTAAGGATCCGAATAAGAAGGGGTACTTGAGCAGACTCAGAGCTAAACTGGCACTGAGGCGCTTGAAGAGACATAAACATTTACCAGTATTTGATTTGGACAAGTAAGTAGTAACATTATAATAAGCCTAGAATTCCAGTAAGTGAAATTATTATTTCTGGAAGCACTGAGTAATATGCATTTAAAATGCATACTTAGTACTTACTGCCTGCCTGACTGCCTCGTTGGCCGAGTGGTCGGGCAAAGTATTACTGGGTTTTAAAAAAATTCTCAGTAGTAGCACGGAGTCTGGAACTGTGAACTGGGGGTGAGCCTATTGCCGGTATATGGCAATAGGCTCACCCCCTATTGCATGGCAATAGGCTCACCCCCTATTACATGGCAATAGGCTCACCCCCTATTACATGGGACTCATAACATAAATAGTGAAAAGTGGGTGTTACATTGTACAGTGGTATAATGTGGACCTCTGCCTACCCCTTCGAGGATAAAAGGCGTGATGTTATGTTACTTAGTACTTACCTAATATTATTAAATTTTTCAGAGAAGTAAAAATATTGGGTGGTTACGTGAGTGAAGACCCAAGGACTGTTGTCAATTCAGAAAGAGTACTCGACCGATTCCAAAGATCGGTAAGTTAAATTGATGCAACGAAACATAAAGGTTTTCTCTATATCTCTCAAGTTCTTATAATAAAATACTCCTTTTACAGTATTTGATAGACAATCTTAGCGGGACAATAGCCAGTACGAACTACGGAACTCTGCTTCTGTCAGACATTGAGCCGACGCCATACCGGTCCTTATACTCTGGGACCACACTGAAGCCCTACATACGAAGGGACGGAGACTCTGCCCCAACCTGGCTAAAACTCACTGATGAACTTCTTAGAAGGACCAATAGGTATGTCGAATTTCTTACCATTCAGTATTCAGTTGAATTGCATATCAAATAATTTATTTTGATAATCAATACACACCCCTATAAAGACCAAAAAATTAAATACATATACAAAAATTTTGTTATTTATTTGCAGACACGTAAAAGACTACGAGCCTCCTCCGCGCGCCACCATAGACTACTCGTACGTGAGACCGCAGCACATCGCCGCCGTCAACAATCTCTGCGCGCAGTTCTTCTGGCCGGGTATTGATTGTAAGTATCCTTACTATCCTTACTTCCTTACTAATATTATAAATCGGAAAGTGGGTTTGTTTGTTTGTTTGTTCCACTTTCACGCCGTAACTACTAAACCTATTGCTTTGAATTTTTGCCGATGTGAAGTTAGAAGTCTGGATTAAATAATAGGGTACTTTTTATCCCGGAAAAAATTAATATTCTTGAGGGAAAACGAAATTATTGGTATAGATGGCGCTGTGTGTATTGGTATATGTCACATAGGCTACTTTTTATCCTTTTGTGACGCGAGCGAAGCCGCGGGTAAAAGCTAGTTATAAATATTTTGAATTTTTTGACATTACCAAAACCCTACGTGACGAGACCGAAACTTTAACGATTACCTCCGAGTCTCAAACTTGCGGTCTCCTCCTGTATCTGTGATACTTTAGGTAGCTAAACTTAAAAGAGTTTAAATAATTTTCCTTTCAAAAAATCTTGTATATTTTCCCGTAACAGTAACAGAAGCGCTCCAGTATCCGGAATTCAGTTGCGTGGTGACGTACAAGCGGCTGGTGATCGGCTGCGCCTTTCTCGTGCCTGACGTCAACCACAACGAGGCCTACATCTCCTTCGTACTCACGCGGCCAGAATGGAGGAACGCCAAGATTGCCACCTTCATGTTATATCACTTGTTACAGGTACGAAATATAAAGAAAAATAAACAATAAAAGCTCTCAAACTAAAAGCATTGCTTAGCAAATTCTTATGTTGAATTCAAGATATTTTCAAAAGTAACAACAGCGCGGTATCGACGCCATCTATTGTGTCTTAGGGTATTTCGGTTCATATACCCTATGGATCTTGGTGACTAGAAAACTCGGTGTCACATAGTAATGTATGTTTTATTTCAGACTTGCACAGGCAAAGATGTAACCCTGCATGTGTCACCTACAAATCCTGCCATATTTCTGTATCAGAAGTTTGGTTTCAAAGTGAGTACCTACTATAATCTGAGTTCCTACTATTAATATTATTCATGTGTAAGTTTGTATGTTTGTTAGTTACTCCGTCTGAAAACGTCTGAAGTGATTGAAATGATATTTGGAACAGGAGTGAATTATGGTTTTGAATAATACATAGGCTACTTTTGATTCTACCGGACCATGAGTGAAGTCGCAGGCAGAAGTTACTACTTCCCCTTATTATAAAGTTGAAGAGTTTTGTTTGTCTCGACATGCTTATCTCCAGAACTACTGATCTAAATTGAATATTTATTTTTGTGATGGATAGTACATTTATGAATGTATGAGTATTGACTATCAAGGAGGATACTCTGATAGCCTATAGCCTATAAGCCATGCTACAATCTATAGGAGCGGGCCATAACGGGTGAATTAATATAACTATAATCAAGGTCAAGGATCTTAAAAACCATAGATAAAAATAAAAGGAAAATGGTTGATATAAAAAAGTTATGCTTATTTATTTACTGTGGCTTAGATATAAAACCTTCATACAACAAATAATCATAGATCTTCCTAGTTTTGTTCACATCTATTTTAACGATTCTCCTAGCATCCAGCAAACGTAGGAAGCCCATCTTACTGTTCTGTGTAATTAATTGATGCTTAATCTCTAAGTAATTCTCAGGGACCAGTCGTAGGTTGGAACACAATACTTTCTCTGTGTCTGTGAGTAAGTTGAACCCTGGTAGATCCACAATCTCCAGCGGCATCGATGTTCTCTTATACTTCAGCAACTGGTTACTTTTACCAAACAGCATGGAGTTCTTCACAGGCGACTGACTGTCATATTTCTTTGCCATCACACTTGTAGCATGCTTCTGTTCTTTTACAATTAGATCATTCTCCTTTTTCAACTGTCTATACAACTTTGCAGAATACAATGTTCTAATGCCATTTCTCCGATACTCTGACAGCCGTGTTAGTTTCTGCATAAGTTCTTGTTCCAAACTGATTGACTCCATGAATGCATCAAATTGCATTCCTGTCATGAACTGCATAAAGGAGACTAGTCTATCACACTTCTGCCTAGATAATGTTGACTCAAACTTCTGTAGCCAGGATATCAATTTGTTTGGCATTATCAGACCATGGTGTTGGATAACCTTGTATCTCCTCCGCCTCTCTCTAAGCCTAGTGTTCAAAGAACTGACCAGAGACACTTTCAAAGAATCCATACAATCTTCATCATCATCATCATCATCACCGTCATCATCGGAATAACTATCCTCTATATTGAAAATGCTTTCTGCGTTGTGATCATAACTTAATTCAAATTCAGACCTGTAAGCGTTGTATCCAGCTAAATGTTGATCTGCATTGTTATTCCTGGGTGGATTACTACAAATTTCTGTACTATATAAATAAGGGATCACAGGTTTTGGAAACAAAGATGGTTCTGTTTCCGGTAACAGCTTCAGCTCTTTGAACTGGACATTTTCTATGTAATACTTCTTGTAATGCTCTTGACATTCGAGTTTTGACCTTGTATGTACACTTTTAGATATTTCTTCCCAATTTCCGTAGCCGTATATTGATAATGCTGAGAGCAGTTTACATTCTTCCTTGGCTGACCAGTTACAGTTTTCGAACAAAGGAAAGTCATTCCGCCGCACGGCATATTTGTGATCGTTCTTATGACTTCCCACTTCTTGACCGGAGGCGAAACATGCTGTACATAGATTGACTTCACATTCAACACACTCTATAAATGGTTCGTGGGCAATTTCGCTGCACGCCGCACATTTGTTTTGCAATATTAAATCGTTTGACATTGTTTACAGGTCGAAGAGCTCATACAAGACTTTTATGAAAAATATTACGACATAGATTACAAAGGCTGCCGGCACGCGTTATTCTTAAGGCTTGTTAGATAAATAAACACTTATTATTTATATTTCTTTCATTTACAAAAAAAATAACACGAGTTACAAACATCGGCAATACAATTTACAAACATGACATCTGACGGTAAATTTGACAGCTAGTTGTCAAACTTCAGGCGGGCCAAGGACAAGGGGAGGAGTCAATAATGTTGCCACCTTTTTATAATTTTTGAAAAATATTGCAACACTGGTTTTTTTCTATAAAATCCGTACCATCACATCCATAATCTTCAAAAGGGTAGGTGTAGATATCAGTTCAAAACAAACCACTATTCACCACTAGGTCATACCTAGTCAACGATTTTTTAACCGACTTCAAAAAAAGGAGGAGGTTCTTAATTCGACCGTATATATGCTTTTTTTGTTGTATTATTTTTTATAACAATTGTAATAATGTGATCAAATTGTATTTTTGTTCGCAAAGATTGCGCTAGAGTGCAACTCTCATTTTGTCTAATTTGTGTCACACACACACCATTGGGCCTTCAATATTTGACAGCCGCTGTAATTGAACAAAAAACCTTCCTTCTTTGTTTATATCTTCTTTCCTTATCCAAATATCAAATTTTGATATTGGGTTTATTGAATAAACTTTATTCGCCATTTAATGCATGTACATTATTAGATTACTGCGGCTGGTTACCATCAAACGATCTGTATACACTTTGTTTCTACTTTCTACCCGGTGAAGGAAGTAGGTTAGGTAGAAGGTATTGTTACAAAAGCACGTTGAAAAACAGGCGGACACAGAATCTTGAAACAACGACTGTGGCACCTGTAGTCAGACAACCTGGTTACGTTAGTAAAATTATATACGTACTCGCAGAACATACAAACACTGACACAAAGGACATCTGTCTTTTTCTTATGTCTGGTAGTGGTAATGCGCGAACGCCTTTTTTTAACTTCCTAGTTCTTGTATTGTTATAAATTATAAATTAGTTTTTCTAATTACGTACAAATTAATCAACGTCCAAAGAGAACAAACTTGAAAAACAACAAGTACCAAAGAGTCATAGAAAACATACTGTCTCCCTAATCGGAACGTGATAAATGACGTGAACTCTACAACTTTCAGTAGTCCTGAACAACCAAATTTATATTCATCTCTTTCTATCTCAGAAGTGACGCCATTGCGTTTTATAATTTGTCTCGTTTTCACAGAGGTTGAAGGCCCTAGAACGTTCTAGACGTTTTAATGTATATATTTTGGCGCAACGACGGCGCAGCGTTTTATTGAAACGTGAAGTTGATACAGTAAGGTGTGAAAAGTGTTGTGTGTGAGAAATACCAAAAATCGTTAATTATAACTACTTGGATTACATTTGAAGCTTTAAGTGACTAGGTAAGTGTTCCATAATTACTGTTAGTAATTTCCCAAACTAAAATTTAGTTGTTTGTATTTGTATTTACGAAAAAATCTTGAATTTAAATAGCGCGGATCATTGCTCTACATCTCCTAAAATGGTGTCAGACGTTAAGGCTAACGGGAAATGTTTTTTGTTCTAGGATAAGGATTCACAATGGGTAAAGACTACTATAAAATATTAGGACTCTCAAAGGGCGCCTCTGATGACGACATAAAGAAAGCGTACCGTAAGCTGGCACTGAAGTACCACCCGGACAAGAACAAGGCAGCTGGTGCCGAGGAGAGGTTTAAAGAAGTTGCTGAGGCATATGAAGTGTTGTCAGACAAGAAGAAACGTGAGATCTACGATGCCCACGGCGAGGAGGGACTCAAGGGTGGAATGGGATCCCACAATGGACCTGGAGGTGGCCAGTCGTTCTCGTACACGTTCCACGGGGACCCGAGGGCGACATTCGCGCAGTTCTTTGGCTCAGCCAGCCCATTCCAAGCTTTCTTCGACATGAACGGCGGCGGCGGAGGCACTACCATGTTCTTCGATCGCGATATGGATGTAGACATGGACCCCTTTGCGAATATGGGAATGGGAACAGCACGTCCTGGCGGTCCCGGTGGTGCATTCCGCAGTCACAGCTTTAACTTCCACGGATCTCCCAGCCGTAAAGAGAAGACTCAAGACCCGCCGATCGAACACGACTTGTACGTGTCACTGGAGGATATCGCGCGTGGTTGTGTGAAAAAGATGAAGATATCTCGTCGTGTCCTGCAGCCTGACGGAACCGCAAAGAAGGAAGACAAAGTTCTTACAATTCACGTGAAACCTGGCTGGAAGGCTGGCACGAAGATCACGTTCCAGAAGGAGGGTGATCAGGGTCGCAACAAGATCCCAGCAGATATTGTGTTCATCATCAGAGATAAACCACATCCATTGTTCAAGAGGGAAGGCAGTGACATCAGATATTCAGCCAAGATCTCATTGAAACAGGTGAGCATCAATGACTTTATAACTAGTTTATTGACATTGATTACATATTGTGTTAGTGTCTGTTGTTTACTAAATACTGATAAACATGCATCCATTATGCCAACATACTACATTCTAGAAAAGTCTTTGATTGACCTGCTGGTGACTAATATGTTTAGTCTTTAGAATTGTCTAGTACTTTCCATTAGTTGTGCAAATTATTGACTTTGAACTATAATATGTGCTGAATATTTTATAGGCTGGCCTACATGCTTCCCTTATGGGCATAAGGCATACGGGACATAATTCCTTAACTTTCTTTAATTTGAATGTTTTGTAGTTACGACTAAATAGAGTTACATGTTGGATGACTCATTGTGACATAATGATAACCAATGTTGTTTTGTTTGTTGCAGGCTCTTTGTGGTACCATCATTGAAGTACCTACTATGTCGGGCGAGAAGCTGACAGTGAATCTTCAAGCTGAAGTAGTGAAACCACACACTGTGAAGAGGTTCCCTGGCTATGGTCTACCTTTACCCAAGGAACCAACGCGGAAAGGAGACTTGCTAGTTGTTTTCGACATCAAATTCCCTGACCGTCTCTCATCAGGAACAAAAGAAATTCTTATGGATACTCTACCCAATTAATTAAGAGACTGGATATCTCATTAGTGTGGATTTCAGTGTATAATGAAGGTGGTTCTGACAGGAGTTCCTTTCAAACTTTAGGTCTGAGAAAGCCATACTAGAAGGCCTTTAAGTGGTATGACTTTGTTAAACCTAAAATCATCCTAGTGACATGTTTGGACGTACAGGAAGAATTGTCAGAAGCATTTGGTTTATATGCTCAAAACTAGTGATGGGACATTCCTACTAGTGCCGTTGTAGGAACTTACTCATTTATGTTGCCTAATTACGTTACTGATTGTAATTAATTGTTGTAAGAATGGCTAGCCAAATTTAGTTTGATTGGGTAGACTCCATGCGTTTTAGTACGGAGAGCTAAGTGAGACTGATTGCAAGTGTGAATTAAATGTATTTAATGCTGATTAAGTTGTAAATATTTTTATAATGTAAATACATGATGACAGTGATTGTAAGTTTTAAGTTTCAATGGAAACTTGGAATTGGCAATTACGTTGGACATGTGCATGAAATGTAGCTTCGTTATTGTGAATATGAGGCTATGTTTCTGTAACATGGTGGCTAGAGTTTATTATGTAGTTGTGTAGTGAAAAGAGACATTTAACTTATCACTTATAATTGCTGTTAAAAATTGACTAATAAACAAAATACTACTATACCACTCTGTTTCATTTAACATAACACCTAGCTAGGTGTTACATAATCATGTAAATGTCAAGTTTATTGCTCACGTGCTGCGCGCCGGCACACGTGAATCCTCTCGGTCTCGCAACTGTCACACCATAGTTCCTTCTTTTGACTAAAATCATTATTCTTTACGTAATGTGTTAAGAAATGATCTAATTGTCTCTTGTGCCATAACTCGTTCACTGACTAGTGTTATCTTTGTAAAATATACGTAGTATCTACCTATGCAGATATGGGATCAATAATATTCTCGTGCTATTACCAGAGAAAGTTTATCTGAAGTGTGGCGAATTCTACAACTTTGGGCATAAGGTACTTAATGTACGTGTATTTTAACTAGAATTTGTCTTTCTTTTTCTAACTAAAATTTAGGCCCTAATTTTTACCTGTTCGTAAGCATTAGGTTCAGATTTTATTATGAAATTGATTTCGTAATCAGATTTTATTGATGGAACCTCTACTTATTGCGCTTGATAAAATATTATTGTGTGTTTGAACAGCTGTGAAACCAATCTGTTGACATGGCCACCACGACGGACCTTGATGGCATTGTATGGCCACGGAATCTGCGCATTCTGAAATGTAGTCCCAACAATAAATTGTTTCTATTTTCTGTGCGTGCGTGCCTAACCACAGAATAATAGGTAACTCCTATACGTATAGGTACTTACCTACTTAATTAAGCATTCTTAATTTTTATTTAAACATTTTAATTATGTACTCATAGCAATAATATTCCACTTTCTCGACTCAACACAAATCTATCTTTATTTTATCTCTCCATCGGCATAATAAACATAAATTAATATAATGACAAAATTATGTAGTTGTTGCCATTTATCTGTATTTGATTACAAATCAATTAAAACAGTCCCTTTTCCGCTGCGGCGCGTCGCTCCAATATGCGGAGGCCGAGTTCCTGACGTCACCGAGTAAAAATACGCGGCGCTTGCCCCGCCCGACCATTCGCACGCTGGAGAAATGCACAAACCATGTGATATTATAATACTTACCAGTGAATCCCTCGATTATCATTAAACGCACTACGCAAACACGTTGAGTCGTACGTATATCTCGAGTGTATTACGACCGGAAGACAGGCCCACGTTGATGAATTTCGCACTTGGTGCGTAAGCAAATTTTATCGGAAATCTGACGCTGGTTACTTTAATGTCAGTGGTTTTTAACAAGGTTGCTTTTCTTTACGTAGGTCCCGGTTTTGTTATGATTGTATAGGTAGGCTTTATTTATGTGTTATTGAATAACTACTCCATTTCGATTTCTTTGTTTGTTAATTTAACATCGTGGTCTCTAGGGTGCCTGACTT